TGGAAGATCGCAGCATTGTCAATACGTTGACATCACCCGTTGCCTGCGTCAATCTGGTGACACGAAAGCAGCTGCAAGTGGTTGGGCTGGCGTTGGCGTAGTTAAGTAACGAAATGAGGTTGCGCATTTGGCTGATTTCCTATTACCATCCAACTGTGTGAAATTTGGCTTCGGTTCTTTTGCGGGATCAACAGCGTCGTGATGAGAAATGCGTCACGTTTGTTATCTCCGTGTACGCCCCAATTAACTGTAAGTTGGACCAAGTCAAGGCCGTCTTTTGTCGGGAAATTCACCAGCTTTTGAGCGGAGTTCGCATTTCCGCTATTATTGTGCCTGCTGGGGGTTTCGACGATTCGGTCGTCTATTGCCATGTGAATGTCACTCCGGTGTCGATTTTGCGCTCGATGAGAGCTGCTCAGATAACGGGGAGCGACTTCTCCTAATGAAAAACCACCATATGTTTCTCTAGGGCAACAGCTCAAGTCACAAGTAGAAACGTTCCGCTATTTGACGCCTTCGTTACCAACCCCAGCGTAGTCCCAATTTGGTCGCGTCACAACCATTTTCTAATGGCTAGTAGCATAAACCAATGCAGTTCAATATGATCTTAAATTTTCCATCAGATCTTGCTGTAGCTTATGTGCATTTGCATACGATTCGATGGGCCTCACTAGCTAAGAAATTTAAGGTTGCTACAAATGCGGTTGATACTGCCTCGGTTTGGCTGAGCCATCAATCTTCCCTGATGGACGCTATCAGCTGCGATCCACCACAAGATTTTGATGAACGTTGGTATTCCATGTAGAAGATTATAATCTTTTCGGGACAGCAGTGTTACTCGTCATGCTGTGGTCGAACGCATATTCACGTGTCCCGATATCTGTTTTACCGCACGGAAAAATTCCGGCAGGTTTTGAACATAATTTGTTGCGCAGTTCTGTCAATGGGCAGCTAAATAAAGCGTGCGCAGTTGTCACGAAGTCCGGTGCTCTCAGCCCACTTCGGAAATGGATAATTGTGCCTTATCTAACATACTCGTCAGCTATTCAAACTCGATCCACTGGACAAAAGAAGCAAGAGGAGATCAAGTATACCTAGGAATCGATTGGTTCACCGATAGGTAATTTGCGGAGAAGCATGGATTCAACATTTTCTTTCTCGATTAATTGATCCTCACCGACCACGTGTATGCCCGTATTTAGTCGTTACGCTTTATACATAGCGAAGCGGAAACGTGCTTGGCGATTCGATAATTCAAGCAATCCAAGACTTCCGGCTCGGACGACACCATCCAGAGCTGTTCAAATATGGTGGCACAGAAACACCATCAACTTGCTACACTTTTCTCGATAATTTGACATAAAATAGAATTGCCTTATTGGGGTGTCCAGATTTCTAAGAATGGTGCTGGGACTTCATACACCAGTCAAGGGAGACTAATCTCATCCCGATTGAACCCAAGCTAATGGCATCCATTCTCCTTTGTAGAATATCCACCATTCGTGAAGCTCAATACCAGCAGGAACAAGCTGGTTTCCGTCCTGATATTTGGGCTGCTGACCAAACCCTTTTTGTTCCACCAAGTCCTCGAACACTATCTCTACCAGAGGCTTATTACGGTTGCATTCCCGGATATCCCAGTTGTATTGAAAACGGTTAATCGGCCTGCGTTATGGCACTGATCGTCATGGAATGGGGTTTCAGAATTATATTCTGTCATCCTATGCGGTCTTTACGTCCTTGGATCAATGGCGGTTAAATGTATGCTTTCCTTTCGATTGGTGTCTGCAACCGTGTGCGACTGGGCTGCTCCACATCATTGTTCCACTTCATTTTTACTCTCGAGGGTGTTCTCTCGAGAACTCTAGAAGGTTACCAAAGTTTTGATCTACAAGTACTTCCTGCTGAGCGAGAGACGGCCTTAGGCTAAACTGACGCCTTCAACACACTCGGCGGCGATTCACAGAGTACATAAAAATTAACAACTTTTTGATAATTAATGCTTCCAGTTATGGAATGCTCTTTTCAGGCCCAGGATTTAAGCTTTTGCTCCAGAATTAGAAATACTTGATTCTCGTTCTCACCCTTGAATTTACACGGCTTGAACACGTGAATGACCTAGTCTAACTGAGCTGTAACATGCCTGCTGTTGACACCATTGACAAGGCACTTTCTCTCCGCATCGCGGAAACTCGGTCGAGGTATGTCAACCTGCAACCTTCGTGGCGTCCGGATTTCTCCCTCGTGATAAAAAATATAGTTTGAGCTGTGTCGCAGTATAGCTGCGAGTCGTGTCTAATTCATATGAATGATATGCACTCGGGTACTTGAAGAGGATTGTTAATGTGTAGTGGCAACAATGTAAATGCAACGGGGCAATGCAAGGATTCATTTAGGATTATTTTGCAGTGCCCGTTTAGATGACTCCATCACGTCTTGTCAATGTCATCAGAGCGTTTGCATTATCGCTCCTCGTTTGCTTGTGCAGAACTCGACATAGTGGTCAGTCGTTCACTTGGCGAGAGAATATTAGATCCTATACCTCATATTTTGCCGCTTTGTGTTCCACTCGTCTTCGGTATGGGAACAAATAGCGATGACTGCTGATGGCTTGAAGCATTTCAGTTAAGATGCACAGTTGAAAATGTGGGTATATAACTGGATTCAAATATTCAAAGCTAAACAAATGAGAAGGAAGCTTTAAGAATAAAAACCGCATTGGAAAATTGTGTTTTATTTATCTTTCAGCCGTTACCTTATTTATGTATATATCACATGTCCAGGGCCATCGCAACTTTTAGGGATTACATGTTATAAGACTCAATCGACTCTAGAAGCATGTTTGTCGTACTCTGCCATCCGAAACAGCTGTTTAAAGTAGGCGGAGTAGTGGATAAGATTGATTCAGACATGAGATTTTGAAGGCCGCAAGCAAATGCCCCCACAGCTGGTGATATACTTATCATTACTGCTATTCATTTTCATAGAAACCGTCCTGCTGATAAGTGTTTGCAAAGAGCATGTGCACGTGAAGGTGGGTTCTTCATCGATTCACATCCTTGTTAGCGGGGTAATGATGATTGTTCGGCAGTGGGACACCACTAAGGCGGGTTGACGTAATGTCGCCGTTGCTGCCGTTGCCAGTGAGGATTAAACACGGGATTTTCGTTTGGGTTTTGCACACCCCAATTTGGTACTGATTCAAAGTGATTATTACGCTTGATCACAGTTGAATAGTACAACGCTGGCGTACGATTATTTCTGAATACTCTCCATTTATTCTGTATCTCGCATGTGCCCGCGACGTCTAGTATTTGTTATTGTTTGGCATTAAAACCTACCCTACATCTGGAGTACAGCTGGATGCAATGGTTAGTTGCAGACACATGTAAGCGCATGTTTCTTCCACTGACATGAACTTGGGTGACAGCTATTACTGCCTTCTAACTACTGGAGGTTTTTTGGAAACTGGACTGCATTTAGTGAATTGAGCATTATTCGTCTACCAGGTGAGCTGCGGTTTCCGCCAACTAGCAATATGTGCGAGTACACGAAACTCAGCAAAAATGACAGGCATCCTTCAGTTAACTAATTTCTACACTCCCCAATTTCAACCATCTGTAGCAGTCAAGATATCTGAGAGGCTGACGATATTGTTTGTTTGTTTGATGCCGTTGGCTAACTTAATGTGATAATTCAGTTTACACAAGTGCGTGTACTGAGAAGAACTAGTATGTTGTTCCTGAGAAACTCGTCGCCATTTCATCAGCGTTCCGATGTGGACTTACATGCAAGTGATCTCGATGCTGGTGCTTCGAGACCATTTTCGACTAAGTGTTTGGATCCTACGTACTGCAGACATTGATGATACCGTCGACCGTTGAGTTCACGACCCATTGAATGAGGGTCGATAAATATGCTAACGATAACAATTGCAGAGCGATGAAAATGCCAACAATGATGCCGGTACTAGTCTTGCGTCTAATAAGCATACGGAATCAGTTTATGGCCAATATTTACCCTTGTCTTTTGTGCTGTATTTGCGACGTATTACATTTGCATGTGAGTGAAAGGTGGTATATTCAGGTTTGGAAGCTTTGGTACAACCCGATTGTTCCTACTCCATCCATGATAGAGATCATCATAATATTGTGAGCTAATATACACTAGAATTCGGAAAGTTTGACATGTACACCTAAGCCTCTATTGTAAGCGACAAAACGCTTAGAAACCTTGAGCGATACGCGCAGCCACCGGTTATCGAAATTCAAGACCGGAACGGATTCGCAATCCCCGGGATAAGTCAAAAAATCAATGCCGGTGCAACTGTGGTGCTATTGAATAATAACAACAAATACCAAAAGTGACAAACCTCAAACGGTTTCCTTATACAAGAAAGCAATAGGAACTTCAGTAGGTACCACGGAAAACCGATCCAAAAGCCAAGCAAAGATAAGCACAAAAAGCAAACAAGTACGCGAAGGCGTAACTGGACAGCACCGCTTCGAAGCAAGCCAATACACCAATTGATTGCCTACACGTATGGACATATGCCAAGCAAAGTCGCTTGATGTGTCAATGACTGATAGGGCAAAATACACCAATAGCGTAGCTTGGAAGATCGATTGGCTATGAGGATAGACACGTTCGGAACAGCTGATTGGCGGAGTGTCAGTATAGCGCATGATAGGGTAAGGATGCCTGCGAGGTCTGCGATGGGACATCGGTAACTAGCACATCACATGATGAAGGGTGCGAAAGCGAAATGTGGGTTAGAGGAACAAAGTCGAATGGTTTATCAATGTTCAAGGGGTAGGTAAAACAAGCAGCCGGGGTCCTGGCACATTCAAAGGGAAATGGGCTGTCCATAATAGGGAGTTGTAGAGAAACAATGTGGTGAGAGTTCCAAACGACTGGACAAATTGAGCTCTCTGATACACTCCCCGCCAAAATCCGGTCAGGATTTTCATAGGATCGCGATGCATTCTACTCTGGATCGCCTATCCCTTCCGCTCCATCCACGCTGGGAGGCCAAAGGACTTACACCGGTACGCCAGAGGCCTCCCACTTCGACTGTTGAACTCACAGCGGTCCTCCCTGGTGCGACAGGCTCGAAACCCGTCTCCCGCCTGCGGAGAGTCAACAGCCGGAACTACACCCTCCTCCGAACCGCTGCCCTCTAACAAACAAATTTTTCTCACATCCTTCTTGACTAAACCCTCCTTCGTCTTGACCAGCACTGTTCTGACGAGCCTATCTTCTGAGGTCACACATCTGTCTACGATGCCTAGGGGCCACACACTGCGCGTGATAGCTTCAAAAGCGACTAAAACCACGTCTCCTGGCCTGAAACCTCGGCGCGGATATAGCCATTTCTGTCTAGCTTGTAACACCGGCAAATATTCTCTAATCCATCTTTTCCAAAACAATGCAGTCACTGGATGCTTGGGAGGTAATATTGCAGGAAACTTGAAGGAATTTTTATATTCCGGATAAGCCATTCGTCCTCCCAGACACAGCAACCCTCCACATAGTATGGGACAAAGTCGCATCAGACCGCTCCGGCGCGCTATGCTTCTAAGAGTCGACGCTCCTTCTTTAGCATCTTCAAGCCGTTTTAACTCAGCTTCGTAAACTTCGTTCTGCGTCATCCTAATAACGTCAACCTCTGTCTTGTTGAATTCATCAAGAGTGATCAACGCCGTTCGCTGTGTGTCATTATCGGTTTCGTATACGCGATTCTTCAAATACCTCACGAATCGTGTAAGCCACACGACTGACCTTAACAATTTAATCCAATCAGAGCACTCGCGAAGCAAGGCGGACAGTGGTGTCTCGCTTGAAGTGGCAAATACTTGGACAGTCGAACGCTTAAATTCAACTTCATCAGGCTCGACCAGTGGAGCGAAATTAGGCGATTCTTCTTCGTCGCTCGCCAAGAACCGCGGTCCTCTAAACCAAATATCCAATCGCACAGTGAAGTACGCGCCTCTCGATAACGGATCAGCAGTATTACGTCCGGAATTAACGGATCTCCACTGACAGGGTGTCGAAAACGCGTGAATGGTCGACAGTCGACTGGCCACAAAAGTGCTGAACCTGCCAGACGTGTTGTTAATGTAATATAAAACTGTGGTGGAGTCGATCCAAAACCAAAATCGCTCGAATTTCATTTGGGCCCTTTCACGAACGCTCTCAAACACTCGGATAGCGAGAACTGCCGCAGACAACTCCAGCCGTGGTTTAGAGATAGCTTTCAGTGGCGCGACTCTAGACTTCGAATAGAGTAAAGAACACAGTGTGAGATCGCCAGCGCGAAATCTGACGTACGCGACTGCGCCATACCCGATCTTATTCAACATCTCTCTGATCTGGGCTACAAAAGGTATGTCTTCGGACACCGACGGCAACACAATCGAAAGGTCATCGACACAAAAATTATGGCGGACCACCGCCGCCACATTGGCATTGTAGTGAGGTCCCCACATAACGGCGGTTTGGCACAAGGCAAAATTAGCGCAGAAAGGGGATGAAGTCGCGCCAAAGGGATGCGCTGTCATCTGATATTCCATCACTTCTGAACCGATATCGTCATTTTTCCACCAAAGAAAACGTAACGCGCCCCTGGCAGCTTCCGGCACTTTCACTTGCATGAACATATCTTCAATGTCAACGGATATAGCTACTCTCTCAGCCCTGAAGCGCGGCAGTATACTGACCAAGTCCGCAGTGGTATCGGGACCTTGCAACAACTGGTCATTTAGAGAAACCCCTCTATATTTTGCGGCACAATCAAAGACAACACTAAGCCTTTCAGGTTTCTTTGGATTGATAGCGGCGTGGTGTGGTAAATACCACATGGGAGAATAGTGGGGCTGCAATTGGTAAGGAGGCACTGGAAGGGCATAACCTTTCGTGATATTCGTCTTCATTGCTGTCACATATTGATCTCGGAGATCCGGATTACTCAACAATCGTCTGCTTAAGCACTGCAATCTGTACCGAGCAGACTCGTAATTGGGTGCAACCACCGCGTTCTTGTTTCTCCAAGGAAGGGCCACTTCGAAATGCCCATCTACAAGCCGTACGGAAGTTTTCGCTATCGACAACGCGGCGTTGTCTTCAACGGAGAGTGCGCGGGTGTTCGAGTCAACATCTTCAAATCCAGCGTCATACGAAGGCCTTAATCTCTCTTTCAGCGATAACTCACCCCCTCGTACATAATTTATGGACACGTGAGCTTGGCTGCTCCCGTCTACCGGACCCAACATTATCCATCCAAGTAGGGTCCTTGTCGCGAAGGGCTGACCACGACCTCCGAGTCGTTGTTCTATCTGCCAATGTGCCTCTGGAACATCAGCTCCCAAAAGTATTCTAACGCGGGAATCCTTCAGCTCTTGGAAATCAACGGTCGATAGCTGTGGCCATCGAGCTGCTACCTGACTAACAGATTCCTTGACTGGACGCAAGGGCAAACGGTTCAAGCAATAAGCACGTCGCACTTCAATCGACTCATTACCGTCCAACGACAGCAAACGAAAACTGGCGACGCCGGATTCCAGACAACTAGTACCGCTCACTGTTTGCATCTTCAGCGAAACCGGATTTATTTTAACACCAGCCTCTCGCAGTAGATCGTCCTGGACCAGACTTACGTCGGAGCCGCTGTCAAGTAAAGCGTATGTTTCAACAGAAAACAAAGGTCCTTCTAGCCGCACCGGTACAATTCCCAGAGCAATTTTCCCGGCATCAGCAGAGACAGCGTGGCAACTGCCCGGGTCCTTGGGCGGAGAGTCCGATACGCATGAACCTTGTCTTGGCCTTCGATCTGTGTGTAACAGAGTGTGGTGGTTAACCTTACAATTGGCTCGCCCACATCCTTTACTCCCATGACAAGCTACAGCTCGGTGACAGAGATTGAGACATCGATAGCATCCTCCCTTAGTTCTGATGAGCTCCCAACGAACGGGAACCTCGGACGCCAGGAACCTTGGGCACGATTCCGTCCTATGGACATCGTCACAAACTGTACAGACATTTTGGCTGGACTGATCAGCAACAGTATATAAGGAGACATTGTACTCCATTTCTTTATCCTTCGCTCTGGACGGTCGCACGGTGCTTTGATTTCTCAAGGCGCTGGAGTTGGCTATTTGCCCAAATCTGCTACGGGCAACTCGGGCTTCAGCAGCTACAAAGTCAGCGAGATCTCTGAAGAGAACGTCTCGTCCCTCTTGGACGATTACGTCCGCTGCCCTTGCCCACCTTGATTGCAAGCTGCCCGGCAGGGCACGAACCAGCCGCTCGATGGTGGTCACAGAGTTTAAATCTGCGGTGAAGTTCATCTGCGACAGCGCAACATAGCAATTCTCCATCTTTAGCGACAAACGAGACAACGCATCTTGGTCGTTAGATAACAATCTTAACCCGGAGAATAAGCTGTCAATCAATGACCGGGCTACTATGTGATACTGGCCGAAGAGTTCACGAAGTATATTTCGAGCCCTCTCGTAAGCCTGTT